TCTTCTTGCTGGTCGCATATGCTCTTTTTTTTCTCTTCTTTTTAAAAATTTTTACCTTTCTTCCTTAGCTCTTTCTATCTCCTGATGGCTATGTCTCCTTCCGCATGGCCATATTCTCGAGACGTCTTTGTTCTACCTGTATCGTTTCGAGTTCGAGGCATCTTTGTTATACTTAGCAATTTCATTGATGTGAATGGCACCATTGCATTTCATATGAGAATTGCAGTAAATGTAAATTTAGCTCACTAATGTGATTAAATACAATTATGATGTTCAATCTTTCATGGTCTTCTAATTTTCTCCGGCTGGCTAGAATGAAAATAACCGGGATAAAGCAACGAAATATATATCTTTATGTTGGTATGTAGCTCCAAGCTTGATAATTGCTTCACACGTAGCTAGAAATCCATGCCTAGGTACTAATATACGACCATCCTTTTTACTGTCAAACCAATAGACAAGGGACTGTAAAATTAGGCAGAACTTAATCGTCCTTAATGGCGAACCAGGCCCAATATAATGCATTACCAGTCCCACAAACCAAAGCACACTGCTACATAGTACACAGTAACCAACTACAGTGGCAGAACCCAAAACGACAGAAGCAAGCGAGCTAGTCAGGTACTTTTTCTTCCTCAATTACTATCGGGGGTAGGAAGACAGGCGAGGAGAAAGGATAGATATTCAGCAAGACAGGAGCCACGAACGCAAAAAAAACAACAGAAGAGGGAATATTGCTGCGCTGCGGACTTTGGACAAGAACAGGAGAGGAAGCAGAGAAGTGGGGGAAATAGAAATGATACAGGAACATGTCATGGGGCCAGCTGGGATGTGATCAAAGAAAAAAAAAAAAAAAGGACAGGATGACCTAGACACGACGGAAAGCATGTGCTGGAAAAGAGGCAGTCATCGGGTTGAACTCGAGCGAGATATGCCGGGAATAGGGATTCCAGAAACTGGTAAAAACAATTCCCAACTCGACATAGTCCAGTTTCCCATTGGAAGTGAGAAGCATTGCGCCCACAATTCGTGACCAGAGTGCCGTAATCTATGTTGAGGCGGCCCATCCTCGCAGGGGTAAGAAGAAAAGAAGAAAAAAGCTATTAACGTGAATAAACAGAGTCAATATTATCCCATAAACAAAAGCCAACTTGTTGGTGCCATAAAAGTCCATGCTGGCACAAACGGTATCACATTGCAAACCGGCACCCCGCTGAATGAGCCGTATCGTCGACAGGGTATATCTAGGCCTCTCCGTTGGCTGCTTCGCTGACATTGCCCTGGCTTTGCTGCTCGCGCTGCATGCGGGCCTCGATCTCTCGGAGCTGGCTCTCGCGAGCCAACAGCTCCTGTCGCTTCTCGGCAATCTCACGCTGTACCTTGATTTCAATCTCACGGAGCTTCTCCTCCTCGCGGCGGAGCTGTTCCTCCTTGAGGCGGTGAGACTGGGAGGCAAGATCCTCGGGGTTCATGGCAGAATCATAGCCACTGCTCATCCGTGTGTTAGCAGATCGATCATAGATATTTCTGATATCAGGAGAAACGTACCCAGATCCAACATCGACGCTCTTGCTGAGCTTCTCAGTACGGTAGTTCTCATAGAGGAAGTCGTGAGTGATCTCCTTCAGATCAGCCAAGTGGCTGTGGAGCAGAGCGCTACGGATAGCCAGGAAGTCCGAGTGACGAGGGTTCTCAACCTCCACAACACCCCATGGGTACTGGCGCGCGCGCACTTTGCGGTTGTCAATCTCAACAAAGTCTTCGGAGCCGACAATAGCAAAAGGCATGAGTCCACGGAGCTCGGCGTTCTCCTCGACAGTATCTTCATCATCCTCCTCGATGTCGTAGGGGAAATTGTAGACGGGAATGCGGTAGTGTTCAATGTCCTCCATGATCAGCTTCTTGGACTCAGCCAATTCAGCGGGGGTGAGCGAGTCGGCCTTTCCAATAACAGGAATGACATTAACACGGGGGGAGAGTCGCTTCATCAATTCGATATCGAGTTCACGGAGACCGTGGCCGGTGGGTGTGATGAAGTAGAGCAGGACGTGCACTCGGTTATCCCTGAATCGAGGGTTACGCTTAATTCGCGATTCCTCTGCAAGAATATCATCGTATTGGCGCTCAAGGTAGCCGACAATTTCGCCGAAACTATCCTAAAAGTCAGTTAATGAACATCTGTCGGGTATCTGTGTGTACATGCCTGGCCTCGTTGTCAATCTGGTCACCAAATCCGGGGGTATCGACGATAGTCAGGGAAATGCGGGTTCCTTCCTCGTCCAACTCAAGCTCTGCCACCCTGGTGTCAGTATTGATGGCTTGGTATAAGCACCGTGGGCGGGGGACGGGTTCAACTGACCGACGGTCACGGGCTTGATGCGGACACCCTCCTCAAGGTGGGCATTGGCAGCATCATCGGCATCCTTGCCCTCTAGGACCTGCTTTCCGCAGAGAGTGTTGACAAAAGTTGTGCGACCTGTCGCAGAAAGGATATCCGATTAGTCCCTGAAAGTCGAGTAATTCGGGTTGAACATACCTGTTCCACTGGCACCGCACACCATCAAACAGAATTGGATACCCTTCTTGACATTCTTCTTGCGACGAATCTTGATCTACCCGGAATGAGTACGGGCATGCAATTAGCTTGGGAAACTTTTTGAGAACACGGGAAGCTTCCAATAAAAGGGGAGAATGTACATACCGCGTTGAGGGCTGACGACATTGTGAGCTAAAGGAAGATTAAAGAAGTGTAATCCGAAGACAGAAGCCCAAAGCAAGGAATTAATAACGAGGAGGAAGGGTGTGAAACTTGGCTCTCCTGAGAGTCTGGAGAGAGTAGGGGGGGGGGGGAGGAAAGACAGTTCGTGTTTCCCCCTTTCCCAAATAGGTGGCCAATCACGGCACAGCTCTTCTTCTCCAGTCTGCTACTTTTTACTTCTACAAAGCTCTTGATCAGTCACAATTGATTAGTGGATATAGGAAAACAAACAAAAATACATTAAATTGTCATATATTTGGGTATTTCCCCCTATTTTCCATACTCAATATTGCCTTGATGCTCATCAACAAACATCAAGCAGCAACTCAGGGGTTGATCAAAGTGGGTCTCTGCTGGCAACCGTATGATTATGTAATATGTGCCTGAGGTGTCAATGTGGATCTTGCCCGCATTGCTCTTATCGATTAAGAAGCTCGGGGATGATCCTAGACATCCTATGAAGGCATTTGAAGCATTTGAACCTGGAAAGACCATTAAGATCAACTATTTATTAGGGATTGAGGACTTCATCATAGAGAGTCTACCCACATCTATCTATCTGATCTAAATACTCTCCCCTATGCTTCGTTGACACACAGCGATGAATACCCGCCAATCTATCGATGAGTCCACCGGGCCATATTCACTCTCAGCAACATTTAATCATGATAACAGCTGCTTCTCGGTGGGACTAGACACAGGATTTTGTGGTAAGAGAAGCTTGAGCCAGCTGCCAGGAGAACCTTGGAATAAGCTAGCTCATACCATGAAACTATGGGGCCGAGGCTGATGAAAGATTCGCACAGTATATAATGCCAACCCTTGCGAGCTCAAGGTTTTGAGAGGTAAGCGATTGGTATTCCAGAGTCGATAATGTACCAAATAAGAAAGAACCTGCTCTAATTGCCTCTATTTGCACCCAAAGATTTCAATGCAGGCATCGGGGTGGCGGAAATGCTTGGCCAGTCGAACTACTTGGCTATAGTTGGGGGTGGCAAGAACCCCAAGTTTCCACAGAACAAGGTAAGAAACCATTCCCGGCACAAGGTATGGGTATTTAAGCTCATATGCACCCCTTAGTTAGTTATATGGGACGATGCCAAACAGAAAGCGGCCATTACACTTGAATTCCGCACCTCCGTCCTCGGTGTTCGTCTCTCCAAATCAAAAATCGTCGCTGTCTTATTAAACAGCGTCCATGTCTTTGCATTCTCCAACCCTCCCCAGAAACTCTCCGTCTTTGAGACCTCCGACAACCCTTTGGGGCTGGCCTGTCTCGATAACAAGGTGCTGGCCTTCCCGGGTCGGTCCCCGGGCCAGGTCCAAATGATAGAGCTGGAGACCGGCAACATCAGCATCATACCTGCACATAGCACACCGTTGCGTGCTATGGCTTTGAGTCCAGATGGGAAGTTGCTGGCAACGGCGAGTGAGTCTGTAAGTTCTTTTGGCTGCGATCATCTATCGGTGGGTCATTGACATCTGTACAGGGGACTTTGGTTCGTATATTTGCTACAGGGAATTGCACGAAGCTAGCAGAATTGCGACGCGGCGTTGACCACGCAGTGGTATTCTCAATTTCCTTTTCGCCATCCAATACTTTGCTGGCAGTAACATCTGACAAATCGACTCTTCACATCTTTGATATCCCCCACCAGCAACCCACCGCTCGTCGCAGTCAGTCACCATCACCAGCATCCGAAGAAGCACCTCCTAGCCAGAAATGGGGAATCCTTGGGAAGATTCCCCTACTTCCTCGTGTCTTCTCAGATGTTTATTCATTTACCAACGCACATTTTGAGATTGGTGAACAAGCCAACCTGGGCTCGCATGTGCCACCGATCGGGTCATCATTTGGTCGGCCTCAAAAAGGCCTCATAGGCTGGTGCGATGACCAGACTCTGTTGGTAATCGGAGCTGGGAAGGAGGGGCGCTGGGAGAAATTTGTGCTTCGAGAGGGTGAGGAAGGAAAGCGATATTGCTTGCGGGATGGCTGGAAAAGATACCTGGGCTGACAGAAGAAAAATTCCCAGTCTGTCAAAATAAGGGTAATACATCGCACAGCAAATAACGAACACATTGTCCGTAGAACCCAGGTTATTGCCAGCATCAAGCTTGAATCATTGCATCGCTTTCTGGACAACAAAACACTCGTATCTGGTTAGGATGACCCAACTAGCAAGCAGAGCATCCCGGCGAGAAAGATTTGTAGCGTCGACTTCGTAATGATATCTCATACTTTTCAACGGCGGCGATCATGTCTATCTCGATCACTGCGATGTCTTCGGGACTCAGGCGAGCGTGATTTCCTCGGCGATCGGTCCCTTCTGGATTTTTCTCCTCTTTCGGATGACCTGTAGCGAGATCGCCTCTCTTTATCTGGAGAACGATCATCTCGATGTCTTCGCTCGCGAGGAGAACGGGAGCGGTGTCGGCGGTGGTGTTGACTTGACCGTTCTCTGCTTTCATCGCGTCGCCGAGACGATTTCTTGGTGCTATTCCACAACTGAATTGCAGCAGCGACCTCTTCCTTCTTCTCCTCGATGAGGAATTCCTTCATCGGGTCTTCCTCGTCGTGGTTGCGAATCAATTCTTCCAGCTCTTTCTCCTCTTTGAGCATCGGTCGCCTCTCTTCTATTGCTCTTCGGTCGTCCTCCTTGGCCTTCTTATTCTCGCTAATAACCGGATCTCCCATCAACTTGGCGACATTGTCCTCCTCTTCCTCATCATCCTTCCGCTTGTAGCGCGCATGATCCACCCGAAGCAAACGGCCCATGACAGTTGCACCACCAAGGTTATCTACAGCAAGATCTGTGCTGCGCTGGTCTTCATATTTCAGGAAGGCAAATCCCTTGCTCTTGCCTGTTTCCTTGTCGCGGACTAGATTGACATGCACCGGTTCTCCATACTGCGAGAAAATCGCGATAATATCACCTTCGGATAGATCAAACGGAAGCCCTCCGATGTAGATATAGGCTGTGTCGCGGTAGTCTGCGTGCCATGATGCCTCTGGGGGTCTATAGGTGGAAGGTAAGACTGTCAGCGGGGAAAAAGAGCCTTGCGGAAGCTTCATATAAGTTCAACTTACATCGCATGCTCAAGCTCGCGCTTATTGAGCGCCTGGACCTGGCGAATAGAATTCATGGGAAATGTGTGTGAGAGAGAATCGTTGAAGGTGAGAAGTTGGAGAGAAATAAATGTGGAGACCTGCGGAACCGTAATAATCGATTGTTTACGGAGACGCACCTTTATAATGCAAACTAGCCCCCTGCTCGACGACGTGCCAGAAAAAGACACTCCTCTTTTTTTGTGACTTGCAATCGAAGAACCTTTCGCAAGCAGGGTTGTTTTCACCTGGGTGTTCATTTATCCATCCTCCTCGGGATTCCCCTGACCCGCGACGCTGCTTCGCCTTTCTCCCCCTCCGCCTCCACATTTCCACGCGCACAATATTTCCGCTTTACTACGGTAGAGACAAACACTTGGAAGGGTGAATGCCCTTTGAGGCATGGTGGGACTAGACACGATGTCCTCCAGTCCGAATCCCGGGTCGAAGGTGGCCGGAACGAGCAGTCGGCCAACAAGCAAAGATGGTTCCAAGAAGAACATTTGGTCCTCTCTATTAGACACTGTTGCTAACGGCAAGCGCTTGCCTGAGAAGAACTTGCTAGTGCTAGGTTAGTATCAGTTTCCTCTGGGCATTCCAGGCCCGCTCATCCTCCTTACTGGTCCCATCTTTCAATTCTTGGACATGTCGCTGATAGCTCGATGATAGGTGGCACACCGGACAGCCAAAGGGAATTTCTAGATACCTTTTCCGCGGACACGTCTGGGGACCCTAGCTTAGCAAATGACAAACGGAAAATTAAAGGGAAAACACCTCCAATCGCCAATCAGTTTGCGCTTGGATACACATATCGAGATGTCCTCGATGCTGATAAAGAAGGTATGTGGAACAATGCACTCTTTCGCCAGCTTTGGCTATACTAATGCCCTTCTCGCGCAGATACTCTGGCTCGCGTCTCGGCCTACCTCCTGTCCGAACCTTCTCCGTCATTCGCACCTCTCCTCAAACCACTCCTGACCCCCAAGTCCGTCCCGGAAACGCTGGTTGTCATCCTGATGGACTGGTCAGACCCATGGACGTGGGTTCGAAGGCTAAGGGAATGGACCCGTCTGCTACGTTCTGTGCTCGTTTCGCTTGACGATGAAACCAAGTTCGTTATGGAAGAGACCATGACTGAGTGGCGCGATCGCAAAAGGGGAATTGATCCGAGCTCTGCGGCTGCAGGCGGCATGTCAAACTCAAGCGGCCCCGTCACAATACCTTTAGGACCCGGTGAATGGGACGAGGGACTCGGAATCCCAATGTGTGTTGTCTGCCAAGGGGTACGTAAACTCTTATCCATAAGTCAACTGCTGGTAAACCTTTGCTGACTTGATTCCTCCACTTTCTCAGGCGGATAAGATTGAGAAGTTGGAGAAAGACCACGGATGGCATGAAGAGCAATTTGATTTCGTTCTCCAGTTCCTCAGAACAATTCTCCTGAAGCGTAAGGACTTTCCTATCCTATGTTTGGCCATTCTAGGCTCTTTTCTGACCCCCAGACAGACGGCGCATCGCTCATCTATACTACCCCATTCCTTGCAAACTCTCTTCAGGGCCTGATTCATTCTTCCCTGGGCATACACTCTCTTTTGAAAAGAGAATCATTAAAACATAATGTGATCGACCGAGACAAGATCCTGGTCCCAGCCAACTGGGACTCGTGGGGTAAGATCCGAATTATTCGGGAAGGATTTGACATGGAGGGAGTATCGACAGCTTGGTCAATTGAGATCCAGGACCCTCCCGAGTCAATTTATCAATCCACGGACGACAACCAACAGAGCGAGAACGGCCTAGCAGACGAAGGCACAAGCGCGGTGACCATGTTCGAACAGACAATCAACGATCCCAAACGAGGCACAGCCAACCTCCACGGCAACACGACCAAGATCGAAATCGAGACCACCGACCTCCAAGATTTCTTCGCAACCCAAGTGGAGAAACTGGAAGATCTCAAAGCCAAGGATGAGAAGGAGAATTCAAACCAGCCAACCCCACAGCTGGAGATGTCTCCCATGGCCGACGAAGGCAAAGTCAATGACCATATCGGCCCTGTACAGTTCAACATGGGCGGAATCCAAGTGGACGCTGATGATATGTTGAAAAAGCTTCGGGTAAGCACCCGACCAGCGCGGCGTCATCCCCCCTCCCAAGCCAGGACATAGCTAAATATTACCCCAGGACCGCGAGGCTAGCCGAACCCTAAAGAAGGAGAGCCCATATGCAGGCACCGGCGGCAATGACGAGAAAGCCCACAACCAAGCCCTGGCGAACTTCTTTGCTGGTCTCGTCAAGAAGCCTGGCTCCAGTCCCCGTGGCAGCCCCTCGGCTTGATTCATTCTTTTCTCACTGTATTTTAGTTCTGTGTGCGTACATAATACAGAGGCCGGAACTCTCGCTCCTGGCGATGGGCTGGGTGGTTTGATATATGGAGATGAAAGAGCTGTTGGGAGACCTTTGACTGTGAAGGGGAGACAGTTGCTCTGTTGTTACTCTATCAGTGGAGGTGGTTTCCATGGCTTTTCGGTCGGTGTTAGATAATGATACCAATATGAAGTCTGTAATTTGTTATTTTAAATTTCTTGCCAGCAGTACGAGGGAAACAACACGCGGATATATATGTATGCTTACTGTTGAAGTTACCAGTAAAGCACAGCACGAAAATGCTTCTTAGTAAACTAAAGATTTTTTTTGTAGTCTATTTTACTATTTACTTGATAACGTACAATTTTCAGACATAGAAAGACAAGAGAAAAGTTAGAGCAAGAGTAATATTCGACATTGGAATTTAACTCTTGCTCCCTTCAAACACTCACCAATTCTCCCATACGGCATCAGGAAGAACCTTGCGCATAATAGCCCAGTGCTTTAGCGCACTGCGATCCTGGTACTTGTACAATCTTCCGACTTCCTTCGCCCTCAAAAGATATCTACCGCCCTTGGGCCAAGAGGCAAACATGGCAGGGTCCAGTTCGTGCTTGGGGACCAGATAGCTTTCACGAGACCTGCTGCGCAGGAAGTCTGTCGGAACAGGGTCACGGAATTGAATCGGTGTGTCGGAGCTCTTCTTGCAGAACAGAACCATGTTGGTGAAGTCGGTATCTTCGCCCTCTCCGGTGGGTTCTTCGCGGAAGATGCGGCAAGATGGGAAGACGGCTCGGATGGTGCGGACGATGAGACCGGTTGGGTAGAGGGTCAAGTCGCCGGCGTAGTTCTGGGGTTTGTTCGTTAGTTTATCGTTAAGCTAGGGGTTTGTTGTTTGGTGCGACTCACAATGGCAATGGCACCGTCTTCTTTGAGGAGCGAGTGAAGACCTGACAGGAACTCGTACGTGAAGAGTTCAGCGGGCTCCGCGCCTCCGGTGAATACATCGTGGACGATGTAATCATACTGGGGTGTATTGGGGGAGGATTCTGCCTTCTTGACGAATTTCACGGCGTCTTCAATGACGGGGATGTGGTTGGGTGGGAGGTTGAAATACTGAGTGGCGAACTTGTGCACGACAGGGTCGATTTCGACAATGGTGGTTTCAACACCATGTTTGATGAGCGCCGAGGGTGTTGTGCCGATTCCAAGACCACTGTTTCTTGTTAGTAAACTGGGTGATTGATGCCTTTCCCGTGGTTCTTACATGACCAGTGCCTTGCTGTCCGCGTCAACGCGGGGAATGCCATGATCCGGCTCAACCAGACGGACAGCCTCGAGCATGGCGAAGATTGCATAGATAGGATCTTCCACCTCAGGCCGGTAGCCTGGTGCCAGCCTGGTCCACTGCCCACCAAGCAGACTGTGGTCGCAACGCATAACGCGGAATCCGTCATTATGGTTTTCCAAAACAGAAATGTATCCTGTGTAAGCTTCCTGTCGTGCCAAAAGAGAATAGCCCTCGTGCTCAATTGCAGAATTGACACCACTAATTCCAGCGAAGTGGACGTTTGAGGTCACTGAGAAAATTATAGAAGGAATGGCTAGGATCAGCCATTTTGACGGGATGAGCGCAGCGTAAGCGGCCGCTAGGAGCATTTGCATTCCGACTCTGGTGAAAAAGACCGAGGACCCAACAATCCATGAAAGAATATATTGGGCAATGTGATCGCCAGCCGAATAGAAAATATATGTACCTATCAAAGGCACATGCTCGGCGATCACGTCGCCCTGCGCCTCGAGTCTCAAAGCAACCTGGATTTGCTTTCCGGCATAGGCGACGGTCAACAGTACCAGAGGGTAGTAACCACAAAGTTCCGTGATGACCGGGCCTGTGGGGTTGCCAATCTTAGAGCTTTGCTGCTTGATAAAGTATTGGAGAGTCGGAACCCAGAATGCCAACACAGGGAGCATGAAACCACCCAGACGGCCCAGGCGCTTGAGAATCTTATCCTTGAGTAGCCATCCGATTCCGCCGGAGATGGCGACTCCAAAATTATGGAAGATATGCGCGGGGAAGGATCCATAAGTTGGAGACAAGACAAGCTTCGAAAGGGGCGAGTAAAAGGCAAGCAGGATCAACAAAACCACGCCGGTAGTGAGCCGGCGGGCATCAATGTGCTGCAACATGTCCTGGAGAGACATGATTTCCAGTTGATGCAGTTCTGGATATAAGGGGAATCAACCAAGATAGCGCATCTGCAAGCTTGTTAGCAATCTGAAACTGTGTCCTTGTCTCATTTCCCCCCCTTATTGCAATAATCATCCAATGAATAATAAAACAGTACTTTGAATCGGATCATCGACTTACACGTTCAAACCAGACACATATCAAAATAATCGTCAACGAGAAAAAAAGTTATTGCGGAGATGAAGGCACTTTTGCCGCCGAGCTCCGCGTTCCCAACTTCCTTCTCCTCTCCACCTTCACACTCTGAAACACACCAAGGATGCCACATTTCCCCAAGAATTCCGGTTTTACGGTCAATAATGCGCCTGGCGCACAAAAAGCTGTCACAGTCAAAAACCGTCGCAAGCGGTATCTGGACTTACATCCAGAATACTTCTCGGCGGGGCTTGAGCTAGCCGGTCCGCCTGCTCTCTTCTCTCCCATTGCCAGCTGATTATTTTACACATTATCTGGCCTGGCTTATTGCCAGTGCTAGCTGGCTTTGCATACAGAAGCAAACAAACAAAAAAAAAAAAAAGACACGATGCTAATCCTGCTCCACTTCTCCCCAGACCCGTTACTATACGATCGCCTCATCCGCCGATTCCAGACAACGCAAGAAAGAGAGGCCGAGGGGCGAGCGAAGGGATTCTCAGGTGTCCTGGAGACCGACCTCCTGCGGTCTGAAGCCAAGATGGATGCGATCTCACACCCAGACCCCAATGCTATGATGAGTTACACTCGCGGCCCAGATGGGGAAATCCTCGCCGAGGACCGTGATGAAATACCCCCGAATAAGGAGGAAGGCGAACGGCTCTGGCGGTGGGAAATGGGATTGCGTTTCATGCAGGGCAATGACTCTGATTTCGATTACAATACCGTTGATCAAAACGACGACTACGATGATCACACAGATGAGCAAGATCAGTACTTCGAGGACGAGGAGCCTGAATGGGTGGTTGACGGCACTCAGGGGGACGACGCTCGCCCAAATCTCCAGGGTGAAACAGGTATCCAGGATTTCTAGATTCAGAGAAACTTGTTGTACGTGTCCCTGAGATGTGGGCTACAGCAAAGCTTGCCCGCTGGCTACATATGATGCCATAACTTATCTCTCGTGGTGGTCTATCTGATACCACTCGGTTGCCCCTGAAATACCCCGCCCTCGAAAAGCCGCAAAAGAAGGACTTGACACTGCTTTCAAGTTCCCTGTCCCGTCGATAGCTTCGTGGTCGTCGTCGTTGGGACGTGGATGTGGATGTGGATGTGGCGGCACGATCTAAAAGTGTCCACGATAGTCGCTGGTTGCCACGAGTTGCTATCCTGAGAGACTGCAAGTGCTCACACCACACCAAAGTTGGTTGCTATGAGGTCGTTTCTAGCTTTGTGCTATTCAGCCATTAGCTTTTACTACTGCGATTTGTCTGTTGTCTATTTCTGACCATCGAGGCTTCACTTTAGAGTGAACACACTACTTGGATGTTCACTAGGATTTCTTGTATGATAATACATAAGAATAGTCGGCCGCCTATGCGGCCTTGTGTCCTCTTTTCAGCTGTCGTTTTCTTAGGCTATCCCCCCTTTATTGGTGTTCTAGGTAGCATATAGGTAGGCGGTGGGCTTAAAATGTGAAAAGCGACTTTTCCATGTATGACCTTCGTGATTTGTGGCAATGCTCGAGACCAATAGGATGAATATATCTACTCAAGGTCGTAATTTCACCTTCCCATGGCCATATGACAATTCTACCTAATGAGCGATGATACTTAAATAAACCAGTATGTACCGAAATAATAGACATTCACTTAGAATCTATGCCAAGTCAGGCCTCGGCCTTATATGCTTCGCTATCATGCTGCGCTTTTCGCCAAAAGTGAAATGGCCTTCTCCCTGAGCTTGAACTTCTGGATCTTTCCACTTGCTGTCTTGGGGAAAGGCTCCAAGGGGCCCAAAAAGAAGACATGCTTCGGAACTATAAGAAAACAAAATATCAGCCCAGTTTATAGGGGAATAGTTAGGATGGCCGGAGAGACACCAGCTGAAAAAATGGGAAACGATGCAGTAGTCTGGGTTATGACTTACTAAGGTGGTTGCTAAGCTTTTCACGCACCCATTGCCGAATATCCTCAGCAGTGAGTGTCTTTGAGCCATGGTCCCGAGGAACAACGAAAGCAGCCACTGCCTCGCCATATCTCACGTCCGGAATGCCGACGACAGACACATCTGCAACGCCATCGTTGGCTAGCAAGCAATTCTCAATCTCTAGTGGGTGTATATTCTCGCCACCGCGGATGATCAGATCTTTGATCCGTCCGGTGATAGTGATATATCCATCTGGTGACATGGAAGCTTCATCTCCAGTCTAGAAGCACGATGTCAGAAAAGACAAAACAGCTTTACTTTAGATGAAGAATAGAAAATCCGACTTACATGCATCCACACCTTGCCAGAGTCGTCTGGAATCATCACCTCCGCAGTCTTTTCTGGATCGGCCCAGTATTCCTTCATTAGCAGGTACCCGCTCACTGCCAACTCGCCCCGTCTCTCTATAGGCAGAATTTCTTTCTTGTCCACCGGGTCCACAATCTTTGCCTCGACATGTGGCATGAGCTTTCCGACAGAGTAGATCCGCTTGTCAATGGGGTCGTCTGTCGTTGTCATAGCCGAGACGGGGCTTGTTTCCGTCATCCCATAACAAATTGTCAATTCAGTCAGATTCAGCACCTTGTGCAGCTTTTTCATTATCTCGGACGGAATACTGCTTCCAGCAGCGATGCCAGTGCGAAGGTGCTGGAATCCCTCGCTTGAGATTTCTCCGGTCTCGATCATGCTCAGCTCTTCGAGGAACATTGTTGGTACACCGTGCAGCGCGGTACATTTCTCTTCTTGAACTGCTTCCAGAGCAGCACGAGCATTGAAGGACTCACTGGGGAAGACAATAGCTGAGCCGTGGGTTGCTGTCGCCATATAACCTAATATACCGCCGAAGCAATGAAACAGCGGCGGCGGGCAACAGACAATATCATTCGGCGTGAGGAGCATGCGATCACCGATCTGTGAGCCGTTGTTAAGGATAGAACGATGGGTTAGACATGCTGCCTTGGGCATTGATGTGGTTCCTGACGTGAACTGGATATTCACAGTTTCATCCGGCGAGAGATCTCGAGGAGGAAGCGGGCGGCCGTCTGCAGTAAGCTGAGACATAATGGATGCATATGGTGTCAAGCTTCTATAGGATGATATATCCACGCGGCCTTCAGAGTTGTCGACCATAATGATATTCTTCAGAGAAGGGACCAATGCGGACTCCAAGTTTGACTTATGGAGGTCTTCAACAAGGTCATCGAGCAAGGGAACATTGCTGCGTGGTTTTTTCCGGGGCAGATTGGACTCTGTGCTAATTAAAAGATGACTGGATTGTAGGTGACCCAAGGCTGAAATCACTTGTGCAGTATTGAAAGACGGATTGAGCGGAACCTATGAGATTATTAGACACGATGTCGCCTACCATGATGAGCAAGCTGACTTACCAAAACGGCACCAAGTTTGAATAACGCGTATGTTGCCTGTTCACCGATATTAGCTTTGTTCTTTTCTTCTTAAATGTTCCCACGGACACCTAACGTACCACGGCATATTCCATCGAGTTCCCAAGCATGACTCCAACCCGCTCGCCCTTCACAACACCCACTGATTCCAGCCCCCGAGCGAGAGCATTGCTTCTTGCGTCTAAGGAGGCATAAGTTGCTCGATCATTCTGATGTCTTGAGATAACACTATGCAATATAGTTAGTATCTCGAGTCTCAATTGACCGATTTTGTGTCACGATTCTCACGCTATCCTGTCTCCGCATTCCGCGACAATCTTGGCGAAATGATCACCAACTGTAGACTCAATCAAGGGCGGCTATATCGGAAGCAATATGGTCAGATAAACATTGCTTCACACTAATAATGATATTTCCGGATTGTTATTAGACAGAAAATACTCACACCTGATGGCCCCCGCGCATAACTCTCTGTTAGGAGTCCTCTCTTGACCAAGGATGTTTGCTGAAGGACTCTCTTTCCTCCAAACACAGATTTCCGATAGGATGTACGGCCTCTCAGGCCCAGCCCCGTGAGAATTCCGCTGTAGCTCATGTTCTTATTCCAATGCTAGCTTGACCAAGGTCTCATGACTCTACCTGAGGGTTGCGATTGACTCGAACAAATAGGGTACTGCAATTAGTAGCAGTTAAAGGGTTCAAAGCCGAGGTGTTTGGAACAAACAGGGATTGAAGGGAACAAGGGCGGAGTAGGTCCACGGAAAGTATAGCTTTCCCCGCACGCGCAAATTGCGGGGATGAAGAACTACATCATCCGATCCTATCACCTTTCTACTAACTAACTAGTGAACATTACATGTTTCCTACATTATTATGCGTCAGACTAAAATAAAATAAAAGGTATATTCTACGTTTGCACTATAAAAATCAGTTCTCAACTCGAAAAGTGCAAAATGCATAACTTATCAAGGACATTAACCTATTCCTACCTAGGCAGTAACCTACTCAGTTCCAGAACCATCACAGTACCCGCATAGGCACTCATAGTCAAGAGCACTCCAGTACCTACCACCATAGCCAACGGTGATCTCCTCAAATGGTAGAATATCACGAATGGCCTCAACTGTGCACACAACTCGGTCTCCAATGGTACGAGTCGTGAATTGCGTCGAGGGCCGGCACGAGTGGCTGATAAAACGGGTCCAGTTACCAAACTGGTGGGGGCAAATTGTACACAAATTACGAACTGTAGCGGTAGTCGTATTGGGTTTGTCATCGGTTTGCGTCAGAGGATAGACCTTCTCTACGATACTGGGAAGGAGCTCACCCATGAATATATCGAGGATATCACCGCGCCGGAATCTCGTCAGCGCTCGAACACCAGTACCGGTCCCGGGGTATTCTCTCAGCTCAACCAGTTCTCCGGCTCGAGTTTCCAAGCGGCAACCACAAGAAACAGGGCTGCCACATAGAACACATTCGTGTCCAACGTTGGTCGGGGTGCCATTGGGCCTTTGGCGCAGCGTCGGGTCCTGTTTCCGACCATTCCACTTCTTGGGATCATAGATACTCTCGTTAATGTGCTTCTGTAACTGGCCGTTATAGGTGGGCTCCTTCAGCTTGCCGTCGAGCGTGATGACGGTGTGGTGAGGGTGGTCGACTTTCCAGTTCATATATGTCTCGATTTCAGGTTTCATATCTGGCAGGCCTGGAATGAGGTAGTTCTGATGGATCCAAAGAATGTTGCGCCACTTCAGGGTACGGCTGTGCGCGTAAAGTTCAATACTCAAGAAGTTTTCGCGAATCTTCTGGAGCAAGCAGCCCCAGGCTCTATCGTCGGCTTCTTTAATACCTCGCCGGAATGATTCGGCATGGGAACAGATAGCAAACATCTTCCACCCGAGTGCAGTAACAAACTCTAAGAATCTGCTATTAGGTGTGACGGGTTGGAACTCACCATGTTCTGCCTTGAAGGATTCTACGCAGGACATGTACCCGGCAATTTCCTGCTCCACAAATAGTTCCGTAAAGGCACGCAGGTTGGAGAACGTCTCTGGACAACCATAAACTTTCTCTCCCGCAAGTCTCTCAAGCTCGCGGTAGGCGTTGATGTCATGGTACACGGCCAGAGCGATGTCAGTAGCTTCCTTGTTTGCCGTCTGGTTCATGGCCTCTTTGGAGCCCCAGGGCGGGAAAAGCTTGTCGAGATCGACAGGAGGATGGGGAGCTTTGACGATCTTCTTGTTGACCTTCATATTAGTAGTCTTCTTATTCGTAGTCTTGGTTGCCTTGTTGCGTGTCGGGGCCATTGTGATAGCTATAAAATATAATAATACAAGAGGGATTTTAAAGATAAATGTGAAATGTTGGATGCTGTGTTGTTTAGAATGTGTGGTGAATGATTATCTGGCGCGGAAGAGAAAGGGTCTTTATACTCGCTCGCCTCGATCCTCATCCAGCCGAAGTGCTATTGTATTATTATGCACTGCTTTGTTTCAACCATAAATAGTATTGTGTTGTAAATGTTCAGAGTAGGCCATTCAAACATCTGAAAGAGACAAATGAGTTCTCGAAATATGTTTGAATTCATTGTGAACGTGAACTGGACCGATAGATGAGCATTGTTAAAGTTGGAACAGGCTAAAAGCTGAAAAGAAATGGCTTAGAATAACCAAATCTGTATATTTTAGGCTCAAAGAAATGAAGAACCATGACAGGGGAAGCATAAGGGAAAGCACAAGGGGAAGTACAAAGAGAAGTACAAAGAGAAGTACAAAGAGAAGTACAAAGAGACGCAAATAGCGGAATGACGCTTGGCGTCATGTGGTGGGGAAGCTCCGTTGCGACACTTTGTCTTTCTTTTTCTCTTTCCCAACTCTCTTTCATTTACTTTGTTCTACTTGCTTTTAGTATTGGCATGCTTGCACATTGATATCTTGATTTCCGGTTTCAGCGCAGAACTAGACAACATGGCCTCCGAGCCGACCGAGGAAGCTATCACCAGCTTCGTCAGCTTCACAAGCACGACACGCGAGCAAGCCATCGCTTTCTTGAAGGTAGGAGACTGCCACTGGGTTTTAAAAGTATCGCAGCTAAATTTATTTTGTACAGGGAAACAATCTCGACTCACAGAAAGCGATCAACGCGTACTTCGAAGATCCGACAGGGTCTCAGCTAAAGGTAAATTTGGCGGCGCGCAGCAACTCTTGGTTATGATCTGACATTTCAAAGCCGATAACTAGTTACTGGGATGACAACAGAGGCTCTTGTAAGATCACCTCCCTTATGCGAATTCGGTTTGGGAATTAACGTACCCCGCCCCAGCATGGGATTTTGCCCAACAAGACAATGCGCCACCAATGCCTGCGACAGCGCCGCCCTCTCGTCCTCCTTCCCGAACGGACATACGTGACCCGGAACAAAATACTGGATATCAAGATTCTGTTGCGATAGCTCCGAAAGGTATCATGATCTTGACATTTCAACTGCAAGAGGTATGCTAATTTGTGGTTATTTGATCATATAGAAGGTTCTGGACAAGGTCTCAGTTTGGCGGAACGAGAAGAAAAGGAACTGCAGCAGGCAGTTGCCATGTCGTTGAATTCGGACATAGGGCAGCAGGAAACCGGGGTAACATTGCACAACCAGCCGCAATTCAACAAAGCAACCCGGGATCACTACGAAGAAGGTGCTTGGGCAATGACCCTTTTCAACACATCCTCTGAAGAAGTCATGATTAGCCCAGACCCAGAAGACCGCAAAAGAGTGGAGGGCGAGCCTGCGTTTATCCGCCCCAACCCTAACGGCATTTACCTAGGAGGACTCTTGACAATCCTCCATAGTATTCCCCTCGCACGAGAAGCGTTGCTCTTGCGGAACAAACCGCTGTTTGATTACGGCCATGAGTCGCAGTGGTGGAACGGACAACCCATTAACCTGCCAAAGATTGTCACGGTGAATGATGGCAAGACCGGGGATAGCGACTGGGATGATATCATTCATGAGACCCAGCGACTGATGGCTTTTATGGATACCACCAAACGTGCCTTTGGTAGCAGCGACAGCTTAGCAAAGATCAAGAGCATGTCATCCTTATCGGCAGATTCGGACGAGATCGTCACTAGGTTTTTGGAGGCATGGCATGGTGCAGCCATTCAGGCAGATCCTGAAAATCCACTGGCAACCATATTCACATCACATGCATACAAGAAAGATCTTCCCGACGAGTTTGCCGAACCCGATAGCAGGAAGCTCTTCACTTTTGAGCCTCCTGTTGAGCAGGACAATGACCAAACGCTCTATGACGTTTTGGATTCGGCTTTATGGTCTGACAGACCGGGGATTGAGCTTGATGACGCATGGCTTGAACACTTAGCAGAGGTGCTCGTTATTAGACTCGATGCTTTTCAAAAACCAAACCCTGTTGGTGTGGATATTCATTCTGTGTTCTATCCAGATCGGTATCTTAGCAGCTGCCGAGAGTTCGCTCGTGAATTTCGTGCAAAAAGACAGCAGATACAGGGATATGTGTTGAAACTCGAACAACTCATACATCGCTATACCTTCCCAGTGGATCCCGTGGGCAGTTCGACGATCACGGAACTTCTCGAGCAAGCTGCCCAGGCGGTGCCAGTGGTTGCGCCAGAGCAAGTGAGGGAGTCTGATCGGTCTAACTCCGGGGCGGCAGACCCAGAGACGATGCGGGTCGCAGAGGAATTGAGAGCAATTGCCACAACCATAGAATCCAAGCTCAAAGGTGAAGATGGCTGCTGCTACCATGCTTATATTATTGGCTAACAATACGAACGCAGAACTGGAACTCAGAAAGCAGAATGCCATGGAGTCTCTCCGTGAGATATCGAAGACACTTACCGAACCACCCAAATCACCCTCCGAGCCCCCTGCCCACAAGTACACGCTACGAGGCGTATGCACTGAACCGCATGTGACCTACGTCTTATCGAATTCCAAAATGATTTCCCCAGGACACTTGATGCACATGGACACGGACGCCGAAAACAGCAATGATTATCAGTGGTGGCGTATCAGCTTCTCAGCAGAAGATGGAAAAACTCGACAAGCCGAGAAACGAAAAGTCCAAGGCAACACTGCAGCCACACAGGATGGCGAGGTTGTTGGCTACACTGTTCGGAAAGTTCAAGAAACAGAAGTCCTCCAAGCCGCTCGTGAAGAGTCGAGTTCTGTCTTACTCGTTTATGCGAGCGAGAGTGCAGTGAATGCACAAGTGGACCCTGCACCGTCACAACTTCAGGTAGGAGACGCAATATTTCTCAGATCGTTCTAGAGTACTCGGCTAACCGAAAGCAGGGCTTCGTGAACAGAGATAATGATGCTTTTGCGGACGAATTCGAGAATACCCCTACCATAATCTTTAGTGACCAGGAAGATTCCTGGGCGGAACCGAACAACGCGGAAACTCAGCACAAAGAACAACAGCCTGAAATGTCAGAGAAGGCCACGCAGGTGAATGTCTTTGACTATGAGGTCTCCGGGTTCGATGACGAACCAAAGGCCAGCCGAGAGATGCAGGAAAAGGGTGGAGCAACTCTCTTGAGCCATCGTGCCACCGCAACTAACCTCTCGGCACCCATTACCGCGAAAGAGGTTTCAGGGTGGAACAATGCCGATGATGAGGACATGACACGTCATCTTGAGCATGTGAACTAACATCGAATGAAGCATGCGGGGAAGCCTATGAATAATGACTGAATGATCAATACATATATGTAAATACTGTAAAGCAATGTCCAGCTTTGGGCATATGCCAAATGATCAACTTGTGATAGACCCTCAATTCCCAAGTGTTGATCTATTATGTATATAGAAGCCTTTGAACCTCCTGAAGTTCATGTACACTTTTTGTAGCTGATAAGCTTGTCCCCACATTTTGCTATGTTTGCACCCTCACCAAGCTCCTGACACCCTTTCTCTGCCAATTCCGCGCGCAATTACCCCAATTGATCTTTAAATTCCACAGACCATGGCCCTCGAAAGCGACACAGTGGCCGGAGCCACCATAGAACTCCTCGAGGCGCGCCTACGCCGCCTCACTTACCTCCTCACCGGCACCACAGATTGGACCGGCGTCCCTACCACGCCCGAAAAGCCCGCATCTCTCGACGAGACAGTCTCCCGCCGACTTGCGCGGCTAGAATCGGAATTAGAACGGCTTAGTCGAGGTGTCCCTGCCGTACGGGATGTTCTACAACTCCGTATGTATCCAATGTTAACGTTATTTACACGCGCATTACCACCACAACACGCCCCCTCATCTCTTACCTGATACCTCCATACTGGACTATCAACTATTCATTTCAAACCAACCCATTTAACTAATACTAACACAAACCAAATTAGACGACCGCAACCCAGACCTCTTCCAAACAACACCGCCCCAGCAAATCCCCGAAGGCCTCACAACCCAAACCTTGGCCTCAATAGTACTCTCCTATGCCACCGCCTTTCCCGAAACCGCCTCGCGCCTGACATCGCTAAATGACCTCCCCGTGCCGGACGCGCAGAGCTCCGCAGCACTAATCAACCTACAACCACAGCTAGACCGGCTCGCACAGACGCAGCGCGAACAGGCAGCTGAGATCTCAGAGCTGCGAGTTCGCACAGCGCGCGTGCTACAGCGCTGGTATGATGTTGGGCTTGTTGGGAGTGGGGAGTGCTGGGCTGAGTGGGAGGGGAGACTTGAGGATGTTGAGAGGGAGGTTAGGAGAGGGGAGGTTGTTCGGCAGGGGAGAGAGGAGGCTTAGAGGGGAGACTTGGCAAAATGGCTTGTTTCTGGCGGTATTATGAAGAGGAGCCGGAGGGGTTTGATGCCTCTTGCTGTTGCTGTTGCTTTTATTTTTTGCTATGATACCTTTGATTTAGGCGTACGGTGTTTTGAGCTTGAATAGTACAGATGGAATATTCCTAAGTTTTAACATATGTATAGCACGATCCAATCTACAGAATATATACGTATGTAAGTGTTCTGGTATCCAGATTTGCATCTGTAGCTCAGTTAAGCCCAGGACTTAAATACTTTCCAATGTGGCGTGCGCACAGCTATCCCCCTAGGGCCATCCTAGTAGATCGGGTGTCACCATCTCGCATGTGGGGATTGTTTGTCACATTCTTCATTCCATCTAAAGTCAATTGGAATGCGCTAATCTACCCCAGATTCTGAGCCTCCCGCGAGCTCTGGTTGTAGAAAGCGGCGTATATATTCCCTCCTATCTTGTGGAGATATGCGGCAATTGGTGACTAGGTTATCTATCTATGGATGGCTTATATGTTGTTCCACGGTTAGCGCGAACAGGTACCTACCTACTCCGTAGGTAGTATGTACGTATATGCATATCCATGGATACAAATCGTAAATCTAAAGGAGTAATTCAATATTCATGGAGCCATAAAGTGCCAAATTTCTCATACATTTGGGGCTGTGGCGCAATTGGTAGCGCGTGCGACTCCAGTTCGCAAGGTTATCTGGTCGAGACGGGTCAGCCTCATCTTGTTTTTTTTTCCACTTCTTTTTATGATAAGTTATCCCTGCCAAGCCCTAACCACCACGGTGCACCCTAGGAAACTCAAAATCTAAAAATTAGTACGGATCTTTTGTATGACTTACGTACCAACACAAAAGATCCCTAGGCACATCATAGGCATAATATAAATTTGCCTATCTCGAGATAAGTAGAAAGACACAAGAAAAAAATATAAACGTAATGTCCGATTCACATAACAATCAAGCTTTGGTAAGGAATATAAGGAGTATAAAGTATATAATCTTTATGCATAGTGTCTTTTTAAATATTACCGTTCTTCCACTTAGATAGCTAGAATTAATACTAATAAATCACCGAAGAGACCTACATTATATATTAAAGCTCCTCCCTCTCTGAAGCTACTCAAAAGGTTGATAAAATTTATACAATATTGAGTGTGGTGCCTAAGTACCCTTTGCATGGGAAAGTCACACAGGCACCTAATTTTTATAAGCTCCCAGTCCATCAGTTTGACAAACGGATGTTAGTTAGAGTATAACCACCTATATATCTAAATGTCTCACTCCGGTGCTGTTGAGGCGGGCTCAATATGTACTTATTTATTCGCATGCGCTAGTAGTTATCTCCAACTCTCTTGAAATTTTGTGTTTGCCGAGGCGCACTAAGTACCAAGAGAGAAGCGAACAGAGTTTTAGCAACTATCATATCATATATGGAGTGCTGATCATCACCAAATGGGGCTGTGGCGCAATTGGTAGCGCGTGCGACTCCAGTTCGCAAGGTTATCTGGTCGAGACGGGTCAGCCTCACTTGTTTTTATCTGTTTTTATGATAGAAGAAATCACTCATCACTAGACCGCGTGGGTTGCTTTTTTCTTTGTGAAGAAGAGAGCTAGAGAAAGCTACTAAAATGTGAGTACGGAAGTACATACCGAGACCGTCTCGATAGCACCGGAGTAAGACATTTAGATACATAGATAGTTATACTCTAATAACATCTGTCTGTCAAACCGATAGAGTGAAAGTTTGTGGTCTGGTGTACTCTTAGGCCTGACGCCCAAGTTGAGATCAACTCGCATTCCTCGCATTCTTCTATGGGATGAAAATACAGGGAAGAAAGTTTGCCAGGTCGAACGGCTCTTCGTTAAGACCAATTGGTATGAATTTGTATTAGACGGCTTCACTATATTTGGCTATCAGATATAGATTGAGGAGTGCAACGAGGGCTTGATCTTTTGTGCCCACTAATTGGCAAATATGCCCCTACAAGGTCGTACGTACATCGTCACGGCAATCAATGTCCAATGGGTGCGTTCACCGTAAAGCTTGGAGAAAAGGCAAGAGAAAGAGCCCTTGGGGATGCATGTGATGTAAAGCTTTATTACTTGGCTTCAGAGGAGAAGAATGACACAAATTGAGGGAACACCCCGGGGCCAGAGTATGAAACGGCGTTTGTTCCGAACCAAAAAAATAAGATGAGGCTGACCCGTCTCGACCAGATAACCTTGCGAACTGGAGTCGCACGCGCTACCAATTGCGCCACAGCCCCAAATGTATGAGAAATTTGGCACTTTATGGCATCAGGAACTTGTAGTTCGCATGACCTGAGACATGTACCTGGCCCGAGGGCACAAAGCGGAGGTGACTAAGATATTACCGGATATTTATAGATTCCAAAGGTTTACGCCAAAATCGAGTCCATTGATATTGTTTTATGTTTCGAAATAAAATAGGGAATAGAAATATAAAGTAATTTAAACAGTTAAGATTGTTCTAATTCATTTTGAAGATTACATTCTAATGATCTACTGTAATTTCCAACATTGAAATTCTTTAATTTCCTTAATTTCCAAAAAGAATCGAGACCGTCGATTTCCAGGGGGGGGCCGGACTCCACGTATCTGCCACTTTTCCTCCTTTTCCATTATCTTCTCCTCTCTCTCTCTTCTCTTTCAACTTTCAATCTTATCCACTCTTTTTTTCTTTTTCTTTTTTTAAACAGATTCTATCTCTTATTCCCTTTACCCCCAGCCTGGTGCTGTTTTTGCCTCTCTGTAAGGGGACCCTTCTTTCTTTTGACTCCCAACCTCTTCACCCCCACGAATTGTCTCTGAACCCACTTCGGTTTTAGCCAGGTACTTTAATCCTACATATCTTCCTATGTTGTATAATCTTGCGCTTTTCCTTTTTATATCTGTCGCATAATTTCATTGGCACATTTCAATGCACATCTGTCGTTCCCACACTAACTAACCACAGTCACTCCTTCCCGTCCGCCTCGTTCAGGACCCAACAATCAACAAACAACTCTTATATACAACGACGTCGCTCATCGCCCTTCTCTTTTTTTTCCCCCGACCATTATCATATCAATTCTATTCCACAACCTAACCCAATAAATCCAACAAAATGGCCAAATTCAGGCCTAGCAACATCCTAGGCGATCCGTTCGCGCTCATGACCGTCTCGATTTCAATTGTTCGTTCGACTTTCTCCTACGTGACCCGACATCAACTAACATAGAATTTTAGCTGGCATGGCTCATTGCTTTCATCTCATCTATCATTGCCGATATCCAAACCGAATATCCCAATTACTCATGGTGGGCCATCTCATACATGTTTTGTGTCATTGTGGGCCTCATCACGACTTTTGGCACTGACACGGGCCATGTTTATGGCGTCGCGGTATGATGCCTCTTCAATGCAGAAATACTACGAGGCTCTAATACTGACAATATTTCCAGATCGTCGGTTACCTTGCTTGTGGCCTCGTCCTATCATCCACGAGCGCAAACAATCTGATCTACGGAAAACAAGCCTCCATGCAAGCCGCCGGCGCAGGCTTCATTCTACTTTCCATGGTCATCATCATCTGGATCTTCTACTTCGGCTCCACACCCCAGGCCACCCACCGCGGCTTCATCGACTCTTTCGCCCTGAACAAGGAACAGCCGGCCGAGCCCTCCTACCGCGGTAGCCGCCCCATGTCCAGCGCATTCGGCGCCCGCCCAGATACCATGGCGACCAACAACACTCCGCAGATGTACACCTCTGCCCAACTAGGCGGTTTCGAGACTTCGTCCCCCGTCTCCGGATACCCCGGTGGCGCGCCCGGCGCCGAACGATCATCCTCTGCGCCTCGTTTCGGTACCCCCAACCCCACGACTCAGGGTAATGGCGAGCAAGAAGTGGGCGAAGTACCCCAGCCAACAGACTACCCTTACCGGGCCAAGGCGATCTACTCATATGACGCCAACCCGGAAGATGCCAATGAAATCAGTTTCGCCAAGCACGAGATCTTGGAAGTATCCGATGTGAGCGGCCGATGGTGGCAGGCTCGGAAGCAAAATGGAGATACTGGCATTGCGCCCTCGAACTATTTGATCCTTCTGTGATCTTTGGTCCGTATGCATGATGTCTTTTTTCTTTCTGTTTGTCCGAGTTTCTTGTCATTTTTCCCGTCGCAAAATATGTTTCCCTTCCCCTTGATACCCTTCGGATCCAACCTCGATGTGTGTGTATTTTTTTTGGTTCCTTTTAACGTGATGTCTTGATGGCCTCCTTTTTCTGTGTTGTATGTCCTTTCTCTTCTTGGTACGTTTTTATTTTTTTGTGATTTGGGGTTTATTTTGCTTTTACTCTAGCGGGTGGTTGTCCCGTGTCTTTCCTTTATGCTCCTTCATGGTTGAGGCGCTATTCTCCATTATCATGTTGGAATCGAGTTTAGAATTAGGGTCTGTTGATCTTGATGAACGACTTTTCTACATGAAAAGATAAATATGTGAGATGGTATCTATACATTAGGATAGCGATGTCTTGACTCTAGAACAGTACAATTCACTACACTTTGTGCTTTCTAGGGCTATATGGATGTACGTATGCGTCTACGTAATTTGTCAAATCCACTTCCAAGGTTGGACACCCCGTGGGGCCTTCCATGTTCTAGAACACCCCTTTTTGGGCCTCCCCCATTTAGGTCTATAAAATAGCCCTATTTAATCTCGCTATACGGAGTAAGGCATGAGATATGTCAAATCAAAGCGGGGGTGGTGGGGAAGGAGTGGATATGGATATCCCGAAGGGGGATGTAATTAACGGTGAGTAATTAACGGTGACCTTGGGAAGCGGAAGTAAATTGACATTTTCCCTATCCACTCTTTCACTGTAAGGAGGGATCTTCCTATATAACAGAATTGAGACAGCCCGATTTAGATGGTCAATCAATCTTGATCAAAACTTTAGCAAAGTGTTTCTTTTCCTTGAGGCGCCTGTATGCGCTCTTTGCCTCAGCCAACTCGAACACCACATCATCGACCGCCGGCACAATCTCGTGCTCGTCAATGAAGCGAATCAACTCCCGAAATTGGTTGCGACTGGCAGCCAGAATACCACGAACAATGCATGTATGCAGCAGAGCGGCGAACATAGGCACAGCATCAACACTGGACTCCCCAACTTGACCAACGACTAGAACAATTCCATCCACACGCACCGCCGCCAGGGAATTAGGTAGTGTTTCATTACCACCGACATCAATAACAAAATCCACGCCTCTTCCACCAGGGGTCAAACCTCGGGCTTCCTCGCCCCAGCTTTTCGAATTGGTCAGGTAATTGATAACGTGCGTGGCACCCAACGTCTTTAGACGAGCCGCTTTCTCCTCAGACGACGTAGTCGCGATCACAGTCGCACCCACTGCGACAGCGAGCTGCAGAGCTGCAATACTAACCCCGCCGGTACCCTGAACAAGCACCCACGAGCCCGGTCCGGCTTCCCGGCCCTTCAAACCGAACAGGGCATTCCACGCGGTAGTCCAGGTGCAAGTCAAGGTTGCGGCAGGAAGCCAGTCGAGAGACTTGGGCGCGTGGACAAGACCCGCGTCAGAGAAAACACCATGGGATCGAAGCGTGCCATCAGATCCTTGGCCGAGGCAGGCTGCAACATCGGCAATGCCCGCCAGTGCATCGTCTCCACGAGATTCGACGAATTTAGCGGAGACGTGCGTGAGTACGCGATCGCCTAGATGGAAATCATGGACAGATGATCCAATGCCTTCGACTATGCCAGCGCCGTCACAGCCTGGAACCACTGGTGGCGTGATTGGTCCATTTATGCCCTAGACAATGTTAGATTATATAATTATAACATGGCGTTTTGGGATTCCAGGCATACATACCATAGGACCTGCGATGACTAGTTCACGATAGTTCAAACTCGCTGCATGCATGCGAACGAGAACATCGTGGGGACCCAATTCGTGAATTGAGGGTATCTTAACGTCCTGTTGGTACTCCAGAGAGGTCTCGAAGCCTTCTTGGCCTGTTAAAACCCATTGTCTGGCCATTTTTCAACTCGTCGTGGTGGTCTTGAGGAAATGAAGGGGATTGATTGTAGTGGTGATAGAAGAGGATATCGAAGTCCGAGAGACTCAAGGACGTTATTTAAGTACTCCTGGAAGAACGAGAAGGTTCTTGTTTGATTTCAAACAACTTCAGATCTGATTTTCCTAATTGAAATCTGATTTTCCCAATTAGGAAAATCAGAATTGAGTGGCGTTTTAGGGTGATTGGTTGCGGGGGCATTCGGTCCATTTACCGACAACGCAGCATAAGCTCCTTGGGACTAAATTCTTGCGATTGTATCAGAGGTAAACGGGCGCAAATCCATGTTGTGGTCGATCATACTTTAATATCAATTCTTCGTTCAATCGTCAAGGTCGTTAGCGACATAGTGTAACTCATGCCAGAGAGATTTGAATCGCCCCATAAGACTGGTATTAGTATTATAATACTTGTTTTGTAAGAGGCTGAGTGGTCTATTCCAACCGCGTAACTGCATCGCCCGCACTTCCCGGGCCAATCGGTCGACAAACCATGCCCTCGCGAGCGAGTTTTCGTCGGCGGCAATGGCTCCAATCATCAGCGGAAAGGAAGTCAAATTCATGTAGGAGCAGCCTTTGATCGGAAATCGACATATTGCTTCTTTCAACTCCTCCGCAAGAAGGGTTAAGTAAGCTCCCGACTTCGAGGGCCAGAGGAGATAGAGTACTAGTTCGATTGCTCGCGCGGTGGCCTGGACGTATACATCGTCAATAGCTCGGAGAGCTCGTACTTTGTAATGCAGCTGGGCTAGTGGCTCTTCGATCTCTCGTGCCACCAAAGTCGCATCAAATTGGTGCTGATGATGGGAGTCGATCATCTTCTGTAGCTGGATCACACTATCACATATTCCTTTTAGTCTAAGGATCCTCTGATCATTGTAATCGATCATAGCCTCGAGAATGCGCTCATGATATAGTCGTGGGAAATTGAAGATGGCGTTGACGGAATCCCTATGGAACATGGTCAGCCGTGGGCATCATCTAAGGACCAAGTGTGCATGCAACTTACTGGACAACCAGATCTGTCATCCAAGATGGCGGCGGGGTCATCGCACGATATTTTCTATCTTTGATCATATGTGCAAGACCAATTATGTGAACATTCCAGGCCACATCATCCTGTTCTAGAGTCGCCCCGAACGCCAAAGTGGTAACTGCGCCGAGGACACCGTCTGTCCGAGTACCCGTAGACGTGATTCGTTGCTTGATAAGATGGACTGCTGCATATGAATGCCGACATGCTTTCAATTGCCATGCATTATCGGGTGACCAGTGCCGTACCGCTACCGCCAGTGACGCTTCGGTTAGCACCGGGTCCGAGGCAATAAGATTAAACCATGCTGCTTCACTTGCACTGCCCGGAGAGTGCCTGCCTTCCAGGAAGACTAGTTCTTGGAGCCTGTGGACTGTCGACTGTGAGCTAATGCTCTATAGCTCTTGATCTTCTACACTTACAAGCTGTTGCATCACGAGCTAACTCGGAGCTGGTGGATTTAGGCGGCAATGATGTAGTGAGCTGGTTACTTTTAGGCTTTTCGCTCTCTTTCAACTGCTGTGATTGATGCTTTCTCTGTTCTTTTTGTTCTGATCCGGTTAGGTGAGCATGTTGGCGGCGTTTGGCGAAGTTGGTTTTGGTGATATGTGCCCTCATTCGCTTCGCAGCCGGTGGGGAGAGACTAGATCCTGTTGCATTCAAGAAGATAAAGGCTGGTTGTTCCATTTTTGACCTCGGGATAGTGAAGAGTGCACGTCCTCACATAGGCGGGGGCGGGAGCCACGTGTGGTATGTGCGCCGGAGAATTGATGAACAGTGGCACATCGCCCTAGAGGGTATTGTATCTATGGATATTTACATAGTTTTGGTCTATAAGTAATTATTAGATCCATATTTCCCTGCTCAACTTTGTATTAATTATAATATTGCCAACTTCTATACCTGCCCGCCCCCGTCCCCACGGGCTTGGTGGATATGAGTTTCGTGCAATCAACTCGAGACAAAATACAAATGCAATGCAGAAAAGGAACAACGCTGTATATTTTAGCCCATCTAGTCTTAGCTCATAAGCATAGATCTTCCCCTCTCCTAATAGGCTTGTTCTACTCGAGCCCAAATTCTGCAGTTCTTGCTCGACCCAAAGCGGGGATATTTATATCCAGCAAACGAAGCTGTCTATTGGGAATCAGTATATATATCTCTAGTAACAACATACCATTTCCTCTCCTGATGCTTATTCTCTCTATCTTTCCAGGTAGACTAAACCACCCCACTCAACCCCGACAGACGAAGTAGGAAAAATGTTCCCCTCCCCCATAGGTCAATGCACTAATCGCGAAGATCCATCGACTAGACCAGCCAAGTCCTGCGTTAAACGTCAAGACTTCACCGCTGCATTGCGCTCTCCCAAGCTTTCTCTTTTCCCCTTGTCATTTCTTAGCCTGGTCTTGGTTTATTCTGCATCGTACTTATCACTGTGCATTCTGCATGTTCATTTCCACCAACAAACAGCAGGGCTTTAAATATCCACTCCCATCTCGATATTTGCCTGCATCCTTTTGCGTTTGTTGCTGAGCCTTGACTGGCTCGTGTGGAGGATCGGTGCTCACCCGCTGCGCTACTATGTGCATAAGAAGGGAACTGGATCCTCTCGCTGGTTCGCAATCATATCTCCGATTATATTTCCGCTGTTTTGCGTGCTAGCTCTTGGCTTTGTGGGTTGGTAGCTCAGTATACGTACTAGCTCACCTTGTCGAGTCTGGTTGCTATATTGGATATCTACTCTATACACTGGCAGTTTTTATCTTTATTGGATTAATTGTGCAGGCACTGCAATCGGTGATATCGTTGACTGGAAAACTCTCTATCATACGCATGATTCAACAATGTCCTCAGAAGATAATATCACATTGGCATCGAACGTCCTCGGGACCATCGGGACAGTTCTCTGGTGCATCCAGCTCATACCACAGATATGGTATAACTGGCGCCGTAAAAATACAGAGGGGTTTCCTGCGGCGATGATGTTTCTCTGGGCAAGCTGTAAGTTTGCCTCTATTTCTTTATTTCGTGTGGTTGAGGGCTTCGGTTATCTTTAGGCTCTCTTGATATGCAGAGAATATTCACCCAAAAGAGGAAGGAGGAAGGAGGAAGGAGGAAAAAGAACAGAAAGCTTCAAGGTTGAAATTAGGGTTGCTTATCATTATGCTCTATACAGGCTCGGTTCCAATGGGTGCATATCTAATTCTACAGGTGAATTGAATTAAATTAAACATCTTCGATGTTTCTTTCTTTCTTTCTTTCTTTCTTTCTTTCTCTCTGCACATCGCTAACCGATATCTCTACGATTTTTACTATAGCAAGTCAATATCCCCTTGCAGATTCAGCCTCAGATCTTCGGATTCTTTTCTCTTATTAGTTGGAGCCAGGTTCTCTATTATAACCAGTGAGTTGGACTTTGTTCCATTCTTCTGGTTTGACTGAGTACATGAAGTCATTTTGTTCGCATTACTGATCTTTATTCTTCAATTTGAATAGTAAATATAGCAAGACTAAGGCTATCCTGGTATGCTTGGGCACGGTTGTTTTATTTGGAGGATTAGAGGCTCTTCTCATCCTGACATTGAGAGTATGACCCTTTTTTCTTTCTATCATTTTCTGAAAAATATACCTTCTAATCAAACTTGACAGATACCATATAACAATGGTGTGACATGGCCCGACATCGTGGTTGGGGTGACAGCCGCCATTCTACTCACTGCAGGGCTGCTGCCACCTTATTTTGAATTATGGAAGAGAGATGGGCGCGTTATTGGTTTTAGTCAGTTTTCGTATGGATTGCAGCGCTTGATGTGCAACTGCTGACGTTAGTAGATTGGGTCTTCCTTTCCATCGACACCTTGGGCGGACTATTTTCTCTCTTTGCATTGGGTAGGGGTTGCTCTATATCCTGGAAATATCTTAACAATATGGCTGACACACTTCCATTATAGCGGCACAAGGCTCATTCGACATACTAGGGGGGGATTATGTATGTTTTAGTGGTAGTTCTCGAGGCAGGGATATATATTAGCCATATTTCCTGGCGAATCCGCTATCGCAAGTTACGCAAGGAAGCAAAAGATTCAGGGAAAAGCATTGATGATTTGCTTCTACTGAGGAGGAATGATACACAAGAAACAGGGGATATTGAAAAGGGCATTATTCCTGTTGCTCTTGCAACTAGTCCCTCTTCATAGCTAGCGTTTCTATCTCATATGAAATGCTACCATCACATACGGCCAGTACTTCCGTTCCACATAAAGAAGAAGCTTTTAAGGCTGAATGGGAAAAAATAAGAAGAGAAGTTCGAGAGCAGGGCGAAAAGAGCTTTTGTAGAATGGCGTGCCTTCCTTAAATGAGGCCTTACACTTTGAGATTATAACATCGAAAGTGAACTGAGAGTAAATTGGGGTAGAAATCAAGGTGATATTGAAAATGTAATATTGAAAAAATACAAGACAGTCATATAAAAACAAGTCGTTGCCACCACCGCAATCTATATATATTTAATACATCCACTTTGTCATATCCACATCATCATCTAACACATAAACACCGTATCTCAGACTCCCGAGTCTTCCTGCACAATATTCTGCGACTGGACATATTTATCCCATGCCATACAATTCTCATTAAACAGAGTATAATCAACGAGATCCCGAATCTCGTCATGCCGCTCAATGAACTGTAACGCCAAACCCTCGTCAACATGCCATCCAATATGACAGTGCATCAACCACGCGCCGGGGTTATTCGTCTTGAAGGCAAGAAGCAGCCACCCATTCCCAGCCAACACGGCCGTATCTCGACGCGGGGGATTCTCCGTAATGATAGAACCATCCCACCGAGGTGTCCCAGGTCCAGGCTGTCCTTGCGCCAAGATGGAGAAGTCGTGGCCATGAAGATGGATGGGATGAGTCACGGCAGTGTTTTGGATGAAGAGATATATCCATTTGTCCTTGAAGGGTAACTCAATCACGCCACTTGAATTAGAGAAGCTCAGTTCGTTGTGGTAGACTTGCATCAGGGTCGGGTTCTCCCAGCTCACGTTCATGGAGGTGGAGTTGAACCGCCAGCGGAAGAAATTCTCTGCGTTTTTGGTATTACTGACTGTTACGTTTTTATCCCAAACCGGTGAAACTGGTGGATCGACGTTTTTTGGGACGTGCGGAACTAGATTCGTCAAAATTTCGTCTTCACATAGATTTACGTCTGTGAAGGTGAACGACTGCGTGCGCGGTTGTTTGGGTGTGTTGCCATAGTAAACAATGCCTCGAATGTTGTCGGCCATTTCATTTTGTGAACATTTATCGGCTGGTATAGCTCTCATCCAGAAGGATTCAGCTACGGATTCCTGGTTGGCTGTGATGATAACATCATATCGTTGACCTACATATAAAACATTAGCTGGATTTGTATGTTTGGAGCAATGGAGGCTAAGAGACGAACCCATTCCAAGACTAATCACTTTCGTGGCAAATGGTTTTATAGGAACAAGATCCATTGCAATGACGGTCATTGTGTGGTTATCAATAGTAAACTTCCAATGTGTATCGATAGAAGGATTCACGAGTCGCAACCGGTAGGATTTACCTTTTTCCACTTTCATGTGGAAAGGAGACCCAGTAGTATTTGTACTGTTTCCATAGACATTCTTGCCATTGATGAGTCCATTTGACAACTTTTTGACAGGGCCACGTAGTTGGACATCTTGGTGCAGTTGGTCGACAGTCTCATGTGTCCAATCACTTAGAAATAATGCACCCTTGTCCACATCATAATTTGCAGTTGCCGGTCCATTGATAATGATAGCACCAAATACACCTTCCCAGGCTTGCAGACCAATATGAGAGTGATACCACGAGGATCCATACTGGCCAGCTCGCCATCTATAGGTCATAGTAGAGCCAGGAGCAATAGGACACTGGGTGATGGAGGGAACACCATCATTGGGATTTGTATAGTTCTGACGAATACCATGCCAGTGAATACTCGAACCATTCATTGCCTGGTACAGATGGTTGGTGACGTGGACGACGACCCAGTCACCCCAGTCTGCAACAAGAGGTGGGCCAGGCAAGGTGCCGTTGATGGTCATGGCTAAACGTGGAGGCATAAATCCGTCGGGAGATATTGTGACCTCTTTAACCTCAAACCAGTACTCGCGCGTAACACCCGTGTCCGGGACGACATTTTCATAGTCTGTGTCGATGCTGTAATCGCACCAGACAGATCTGTCGCTAGGAGTATTTCCTGCACATGGATTCCCAGTAGCTCTATGAAGATTGGGCACCCACGATCTTGTGGCAATTGGTCGCAGCGTTGTCGATGGTTTGTGGGGGTAATTAGGATAAGCAATGCCAACACCAAATAAATTGGCCAAGATGATAATGAATGAAAATCTCATGATGACTCGGTATCAAGCTCTCGAAAGAATACTGTTTGTATCTGCCTTCTAGCAGGATGGTTAGTAGTACCTATTCCACCAAGTCATGGAAGGAATTTATATACCTCCCTTAGAGGCTCAAGCAGATCTCCTACGAACACCTCTTCTGACTCCAAGGCAGTCCAGCTCGTACTTTGTCTCGTACATTGCTAGGGGATGCTAGCACATTGTCATCTCCAACAGATGAAAGCAGAAATAATAGCCTAGGCGGCAGTCAAGGCCCTCTGGGTTTGTTTCAGCATGGGGCAAGACTTCGTGTTTGCTCCAAATAGATTGTTCAAGTGACCTCGGGAGCATATCTCAGTGATTCAGATATGAATAGCGAAAGCGATTTATCAAGCCATGAGGGAGCTAAGGCCCTCCAGCTCAATTTTAACGTCAGGCAAGCTTCGTGTCTGTCACGAATAAATTGTGTAAGTGGACATGTCCCAATGATTCATACTTGAATAGCAAGACAATATGTTTCGTTAAAAATTAATGTGATGAAGTCAAAATATTTCCATGGTGTCTAGCCATCTAACCTAAGCCCCTGTGTGCCGCTCCAATCTGTAGCACCACATTCACGTGGGCCATACATTATCGTGATCAGATACTTTCCTTTTCAGGTACCCGATGCAGAGTCCTCGATCTCGTGTGTCTGGTTATCCATCCTGGGTGTGAAAAGCCCTGGAGGCCAGGTTGGGTGACATGAGGGTAACTCGAGGCTTTGCCCCGTGGACATAACTCTCGTGATTACTCAGAGACAAATGGGCCAGGGATGATGGCAAGCTAATCTTAGATCTGACTCAATCCGTGAGATTGTATAGTGCAACCAGGCGCCCCATCTGAGCAGTGTCTGTTCAGCTAGGTCAGCCTTGGAAGGGATTTTTAATTAAGCAGTGTGGTTTCAGGGTATATAGGATAGGCAGCACAGGATGACAAGAGCAAGGATTCGTAAAATATCCAAGCGAGAAGTTCTGTTAAAACGATACCATTCATGGATATATGGCTCAGCTTACCAAGCTAGCCCTGAGTTCGTCCCACTGGGCTTTCAGGGAAGCCCCCCTCGGGGGCGTAGATATATAGAAGGCGATTTCAAAAGCTTCCAACTTTTGATAGACGGCAATATATCTACCAAACCAAAAGCTTCCTGGCATCAGTTTCAAATCATGATTTCCCTTATCTTTGCTATGGTCGTTGCGACCTTTGCAGTTAGCTCGGCGCATCCAATGGAGAAGCGACAGGCCAATGGTCGGTGGAGTTTATATGCATATGGCAGAAATATCGATGAGTTTCCTATCTTTTATGCGGACGGTAAATATCTCTTGCTCCTAAAGAGATCACTATTAATTCTATTTGCGTAACAGGCCAAGCTCAGATCGGTAATCTAGCCATGTCAAACGCAACCACTAAGTTCCCAGTTTCTTGTAAGCCTCGAACTTCGAGTCTTCATGAAGGGTGTCTGACTTAGCTACAGTGACGTTTGGCGATAACCAAATGGAGACATCCAGCAAGGCGACTGGCTGCTCCTTCAAGGTTATTGATGGTTTGGGAGGCGAAGTTGATATTTCGATATCCACTGAGAGAGCGGGCCCCGGTAGCGGTGGACGATGCTGACTTTGGTGGTGCCATATCGGACGATGATAGTAATGATGGACTAACAGGTTAGCTTGGCTATATGACAAAGTGACACAGAATACTAACGGGCGTCAGAGATGAAGCAAAGTAAGAGATACTGACGGGTATCAGAGACGAAGCAAAGTAAGAAGCAAGAGATACTGACGGGTATTAGAGACGAAGTAAAGGAAGAAGCAAGAGATACTGACGGGTGTCAGAGACGAAGTAAAGTAAAGAAAAGAAAAGATAACGGGCGTCAGAGACGAAGCAAAGCAAGATATACTGACGGGCGTACATAGATAGGTACATTCCTGTCTGGCTTAAAAAGTCCTGAGCCCACATAACTCAAACTGGCTTAGCTTTTCGACCGTTGAGCTTTTTTTTAAATTTTTCCTTGTCTTCATTTGAGATTCTAAATTTTTTTTACAAATTCTTCATTTGGCACTCTCGGGGCGTGTCACTTAGGCCATTTGGTGTAGTGGCTATATGTGGATGGGTTCAACCGATTCTCAACCATTCATGTTGGATATGAATCAGATTGTCTTGGTTTTGACCTAACGCTGTCTGGATGTTAGTTTCGAGTCAAATCTAGCGATCCTTGGGGGTTCTGCAATAAACCTGCTATCTACAAGCTGAAGGCTCTTATGTAGACTATATTTTAGCTCTCTATATCTATGTGTGTACCTTTTCGCCTAACTGAAAAACAACCCCCACAATTTAGATGCCTAATAGTTTGAGAGAGAGATATATATATACTGGGTATATCTATTGAACTCCAAAGTCCAAATGCCCCAACCAATCCTTGTAGGTCCAGCATTAGCCTTAAAAAGGCCATAGCTTTGTTTTTTAGCCGGGAGATCAGCAACTAACGTGACTGTGCCCAAAGGTGTCACAGTTCTCCCCTCTCAACCTCTTTGACCTTTGATTTGTCTCTTGGGACAATTTGATGCTATATTTATTTACAGGGGAAAGTTGGGAAAAATTGGAAAAGTTCGAAAAGTACGAGATTATCCTTATCCGAACAGAGAACAACAATCTGATTTTCTTCAACTTCACTCCCCAGAATGATATGAAGACCCCACGATGCCAGAACGGATATCACGTCTGAAGGCGAAATTGCTTGGACGATTATCTCCAAAAGCGGATGCGGATCCGAGTGCCCACTCCAACCAAAAACCCCCCTCGGGCCCTCTCGACTCCAACAAATCCCCAGCTTATAGCATCGTATCTTCCAATTTGGAGATCGCTTCTTCTCGCGACCGTCAGATAGAGGAAATCCCATCAGGGGCCAACCAGGCCAACCAGGACAATCAGGAACGGGATTCCTCCGTCTCTGCACCTTCCGAACAGCCTCATCACACAGGAACTCGCAATTGTACGCCGTCGACCGAGCTATACAATTCTTCGTTGCCAACTCCTATCTCGGGCGACCCTCCGTCTCCCTTTGGAACCCCTCCGTTATCGACTCCTCAGCATTCCGATAGCACCTCCTTCCAGTCAACACACTTGAAAGCTCAAACTCCAATCCCAGCCGAGACTCAATTGACTCCGACCCTAGATACCGTTCCTGAGCGGCCTACGAATGATCGACGACCTTCTGCCTCCTACTTTCCCTCCTCAAGCAAGCGCCCGAGCCTTGCGATCCGTCGTCAATCTCTTCTCCCAGCAACACACCAACACTTGATCAGTGGGCTACTGGAGGCAAGTCTTTTCTCTTCGGGAGATCAGGACAGTGGGTTCACTCCCCTCGTTCCTCGCGAGATGGTCACACGTCGGATTTGGGTCAAACGGCCCGGTGGCTCGGCCACCTTGGTGCCGTGCAGGGAGGATGCGGTGGTAGATGAGCTACGCGACCAAGTCATCATGAAATACGGGAACTCATTAGGGAGAAGCTTTGACTCGCCCGATATCGCTATCCGGGTTTCGCCGCGAGAGGGTGCGAATCGACCAGGTCACGGTGAGCGCCTCTTGAGCCCGGAGGAAGTCCTGTCATCTATACTCGATTCATACTACCCTGGTGGACAAAAAATCGAAGAGGCATTGGTGATTGATGCCCCGTCACGTCGGACTCCAAAGCCATCGCCACGCCATTCGATCTACCAACACCACCACTCTGAACCCGGCGAGCATGGCGATTACTTCCCTCTCATGCCGCCGGTCAATGTGAACGCGGGCACTCCGTCCTCACACTCCGGAGCTGCGTCAGCAGCGCCTAGTGCGCCGTCAATTTCTATACTCAACACCGGGGTTGCTCCTTTGCTGCCATCACCGGGGAGCCGTAGGGCACGACGACCTCCGTTGACGCGACACAAAACAAATTCTCCCACTATTCTTCACAACCAAAACACCCAAACTCCCGGCATAACAGGTATGTTCTCAATCAACTTCACCCTGCTCAGCATGGCCACTGACATCCATAGAAACTGGCCCTACTCCTCATTCCCAACCTATCCCTGCTCCCGCTGCTCCCGCAATTCCTACACCCCCGGTGGCAGTACCGCCGGTAGAATCTCCGCAGGTGAAATCACACACTCCCCCGCCAACTGCATCACCACGCGTCGTCCGAAAATCAAAAGCGGCCACTTCTCCTGGTGCTATGTTTGGCGGGTTGATTGACGGCACCGTTCCGCCAATTAATGTCCTCATTGTGGAAGATAATATTATTAACCAGAAGCTTTTGGAGGCCTTCATGAAAAGATTGAAGGTGCGCTGGAAATGTGCTATGAACGGCGAAGAGGCAGTGCGGAAATGGCGACAAGGCGGATTCCATTTGGTCCTGATGGATATTCAGCTACCCGTGATGAACGGTCTGGAAGCCACCAAGGAGATCCGGCGCCTGGAGCGCTTAAATGGCATTGGTGTCTTCCCAAAGACAGCCTCTGGTCGCTTTCGCGCGTCCAATACCTCCGCCGCGGACAGAAGACCAGGCCTTCACCGTACGGTCAGTGAAGAGGACACTTTGCCAGATCTCTCGCTATTCCGGAGTCCGGTCATTATCGTCGCGTTGACAGCTAGCAGTTTGCAAAGTGACCGACATGAGGCACTGGCTGCTGGCTGCAACGATTTCTTGACTAAGGTAAGTCTCGCTCCCTATTACGACTCTTTTCTTTCCCTTTTTTTCTTTCTCTCAAATAATATGCTAACACTTCTCAACTAGCCTGTTGGATTCCCTTGGCTTGAACAGAAAGTGACAGAATGGGGCTGCATGCAAGCCTTGATTGACTTTGAAGGCTGGCGCAAATGGCGCGGGTTCATGGACTCTCCTCGTGCCGCCTCACCTGTTGATACATCAGCTAGTCCGATGCAAGGTGGCCACCGCAAAGAACTATCACAAGTGGATCCCCCATCGCCCTCGAGCTCCCGCCCCGCTAATAAATCTGGTCACTCCGAAACCAAGCCGAGCCTGCCAGGTGTCGCGCAAATCATGCGGGAAGATTCATGGGGTAGCGGCAGTCCCGACAGCTTAGATTCGCTCTCGAGTCCGCAGTTTCCAACACCGGAAGACGCAGTACCAGCCACTGATGCCACAGTTACGCCCCCGGATGAAGAATGAAGACGGATATGTTTCTTTTTTTTTGGATGGGTCACCATGTCTTGGTTAGCCACTACACACTTCGAATGATCTTTCCCCAATCTGTTTGATTCGAATTTCTGTCTCTCCCATTGAATACCCCGTATAGCAACATGTCTTTTCTCTCCGACACACCCTTACACTTTCTTGTCTTGTCATGGTAGCTTGCACTTCATTCCAGAGGTCTTTAGGCTCCGGTGCCTATTTTTTTCTTTTCTTTGTGGATCTTTTTTGGTCATATGGATATATATTTGTTATTTTGGGCTGCATACGCATCGCCTGCGCAATCTTTTTTTTTTTTCTCTCTAGCTGGTTTCTTCATACAAATGGACATCCGCATACACACGAACGGGATGTCCTCATACCTCTATCCATGTATAGTTTTCCTTGTTTGTTTCGACTACCGGGTAGGGGGGCTTGGTGTATCCTCCTACCTTGTCCTCATCTCACTAATTCTTCAAAAGGGTGGTGATCTCTTCCAGATACATCTAGCCATAGTATTGAAAGTAAATGCCTAACTAATTCGCGTGAGACCTTTAAAGTTATGTGATCTATGCCTTCTAAGTGTCTAGGTAGGTATCCCCATAAAGTACATGTGTAAGTTTACAACATGCTCCGAAGGACCAAGACAAAGAAAATGTCTTGGATAACCTGTCTACAGCCTAAATTGTACACACTTCTTTCCAGATTCCCGAGTATCCAAGGTAATGCAGCATCTGTCAAAAGCAAAGAACCCGCCCAATAGCCATAATCAAATATGAGGATCGTGTATCTGGAAGGCCCGATATTCATGTCGAAATCAATAGATCGGCACAATTTGTAACCATAGCGCCAATCAAGAGATAGCAACATGACCAAAGTACGAGCAACCCGGAGAAGCTTTCTAAGGGTAATAAATAACATCAAATCCCTATTTGGGTACTTATGCAGGTGATCTGGATGCGGCCTTTGTCTGCTTTTCCCACTGATTGTCCTGCATGTGATGTTGTCTCTGGTTCCTTAAATACCACAGCTTTTGCCCCCGAACGTGTACATCCGAGATACTTTCTACATCTTACACTCTACTAGTCTATCCTCTACTATTATTTCCCAACACAATATACCATTTACCATAAGACCTGCTCTCATCAAACCACAAACCACAAACCACAAACTACAAACCCCGCATCTTGCCATCCCAACCCCTCACTCAGCTCGACCATGCAGTCATCAAACACACCCTCAGCCCCAACCCCCCAAATACAACTTCATGGCTCCAAACTGCCCTCGCCTCAATCGGGTCCATCTTCCAAACTTCCTCCAAGGAAGATGAATCTGAAACTGATGCGATCTCTGGATGGGTTGGAACGAAGAGGCGTCGACGCTGTCGATCTGTTGGGGAGGCTCGTTGAGAATTGACCATGTGACTAGCTGGTTTATCCCGGGGAAT